GTTCGAGAGCCGTTGCCAATGCCAGCTAGTCAAAGTTATTGTTCGTTAATTTTGTTGCTTGTTGTTATTGCTGCTTGCTACTTGTTTTTGCTGCTGTTGTTGTTGCGGTTTTCGTCTCTTTTATCATGCGCTTACAACAGTAGCTTTTGCTGTTGTTTTTGTTGTTGATCGTTAGCGTCGCGACGCGCACTTTTGTTATCGCAAAACTTTTGTTTTATTTTTGTTGTCGTTGTTGTTTTTACTATACCCGTGTCGTCCAGGTATTACCAATATTCGCTGCATACAAGCATGATTTTAGCCATTGGCAAAACCACTACCGATGCATGCGGCGCGCCGTCTGCTACAACTACATACACAAAAACTTAAACGCACACACCGGCACACGGGCAAAGAGCGCCAATATATTACTTTTCCTTTGATAAGTCGTTGCTTGCCAAGTGTATGCGAAACTTTTCAATAGACTTTTTTTATATACATACATTTGTATGTATGTACATTGTGTGCGTGTGTGTGTGTGTGTGTGTGTGTGTGTGCCTGTGTCTCACTGTATGCGCGCTACTTCAATTCATTCTGTATTACGTTGCGCCTTTGCGTCAGCCAAACGCTTTTTCGCCTAACCACATTTTCGTCTAACAAAATTTCAGTTACCTCTCAGCAGTGCGCCGCGAAGCTTGTCTAAATTTTTTCTGCTTGCTGTGTCTGAAAGTCAAGAAAAGAGCGTTAAAGTGAAAAGAAAAAGCAATACGAAACGGAAATCAATAAGCGAAACATAGCGAAAAACGAAATAAACAGGCAACACACTAACTAAATTTTCGCTAAAAAAAATATAAAAATTAAAGCTTAAACTGGTGAACTTGCTGTGATTGCCATACTGCTTTACACACAAACATATGTATATATATTTTATCGCTTCGATTTGAACGTCAGTGAAAAAAGTGCCAGCGAGTCCACTTAAGAAAAAAAAAAATGTTAGTGAAAATCAATTTATGCCTAATTGTTAAATGAGAATGATAATTTGCATGCCTGTCAGGTGTCCGCCAAAGCGCACCAAGCAACATTTATGAAGATACATACGATTAATATCACTCATTATATTTATGTATTTATATGTACATAAAACAAATTATTTTAATTAATTTGTATGTATGTATGTATATAACCTAGCGCATATAAAAACACTTTTAAGCAATCATAATTTTTCCACTGCTTTCACATGTGTCAGTCAGCCAGCCAGCTTGTCACAGACACACACACACACACATATACACCAAACAAAGCGCCAGGGCAACCAAACACTCCTTCAGTCACCCACTCACGTCTGCGCGCTTGCCAGCCATTACCATTTATTTATGTATGTAGATATGTGCAGCACCACCCACGTTGTTTGGCTGGCCATGTCCATTGATTTGCTTTTGTTGCAATTTTCCACGTCACTCATACGTCCTGTGGCACGCGAACGCCATTTGACGGCTGTTGTCTATTTTCATTTCCTTTCGTTTTATTACGACATATTGTTTTCATATTATCATAACTTCTGCTTTGCACGCAATGCCTTCAGTTTCTGCAAGTAATATGATTGCGTCGCAATTCTTTGCACTTCCTTAAATTTGTCTAGTAATGCGTAATTTGGTATTTCTGGCTCAATTGCTTATCAGATTTGTTCGTACTGCGCATAAATGCCTCCGAATATTTTAATGACCTCGGCAGTGCAGTGCTTTTGCCATGAATGTTACGCTGCAGTGAATTCTCGATATCAGGAACCCTGATATTAGCAAAACTATCTACATATATCATGATCTTTTTTTGCTAAATATGTTAGGCTAAATATGGATGGCAGCGCCATCCAAAGTTGGAAAAAGGCTTGCTTAGGCCGCCATGGGCCTTTTATGATACCGTAATAGAGGCTCCTTCTATTCATAATTTCCGTTGAAGTGATATCAATTCGCAAATTTTTCCGTCTACCAGCCGACAAGGGAAAGTATCGCTGTAAGCAGCTACTGTCCACTGATTCTGTACAGCTTTCGTGTATTGAACTGTCGAATTACTAATCAGATTTCCCAGACAGTCCCTTATATAAAATTGTAGGGTTGAGTCTTATCTATAATTCTAGTAGCGCCCTGACAGTTTACCAATATATCGCAGTCGCTTGTCAGAGCTTATCCTTGTGATAGAAATCATTGTCAGGAATATTTATCCAGCACCGAGATCAGTGCCCCAGGCCAAGGTATTGAGTGCTAAAGGCCTTTCTGGGAAGTAAAAGAGATAACTTCTTTCGAGAGAATCTTTCCGGTAGCATGCTACAGCCAGTCTTACCTTTGTTACAGCAATTTTAGCTTCGGAGAAAATAGGGCAGGTAGGATTTTGTAAGACCCAGCCCAGTTAAGGAAATCTTTCCAACACCAAAAGTGATTATCTCAAAGGGAAAGCCAGTCTAGGCTCTAAGAAGATAAACTTTTTTCAGGTCAACCTATCCTGTGATTGATGAGAAAATATATTAAGCGTCGGAATAGATTACACCGTACACGCGAAATCATAGGCCAAATATCATAAAACTGTGTCTTTAGTGTTTATCTTTGACGTCAGAATTTTTTATAAAGCTTTACGAATTCTTACCTCGCCGATCAAGGAGGAACAGATCTCAAAAGAGTACTTCGAGAAAGTACAGAAGCAAAGCAAATCATACCGGACTTCGACATCAATATACGTGGCACGTAAGGGGCCTTAGAGCGCCATACATCGGTGAAGGAAGCCCCGGAATTTGAAGCGAAAAGGGCCAAAACACAAGCAGCTTGAACTCGAAGCGAGAACCTGGGTACCTTCTGAGGTTAACGCGAAGAGATATATTAAGAAAACAGAAATATAGAAAAAGGTTTACGTTCTTTACTCCCTACTTTACTAGCTCTGAACATTTTTTTCCAATAATTATAACAATAATTTAATAGTTACTCCGTTTGAGAATTTCATATATATATATATGTATGTATTTAGTTTTGAAATATCCATGTGATCGAATGAAAGAGTATACAAAAGTGAAAATCTCTTACTACAAAACAATATGTTGCATACTTCAAGGCACACCACTTAGAAATTTTTCTCAGCTAACAAAATATGTACATATTTGTAGATGTGTTCGAAAATGGAAAGAGCTGCGGATAAAATTCTGATGTTTCATCGGTTTATTGATTCTAGTGAACAACCGGAACTGGATGGACGTATAAAGTATAAAAAATGCTTCTTTAACGGATACACTTCCGTGTGCTTTTTTGATATTTTTCTGATTAAATTTTTTTCTTAAATGCGTTTTCGCTTTGCACTTCCCAGGTGTTTTTTCAGAGTTTTTGAAAAAAACACAGGAAATCATATCAGAAGTATTGGTACAGTATTATGAAATACATATTCATTCGTTGCCTCCAACAATAATTGAACCTGATATCTTCTTATAGCAAGCATAAGCTTGAATAAGAAATAGCTACGATTTTTGATGACATTTAAGGATGCGAAAATTATCAGAAATGGAAACAGTTTTCGGGCCTTTTTTGTATAAGAACAACTTTGCGGAAAACACATCGCCAGCAAAACGAAAGTTTATTTGGTGCCTCGGCTAGCAACGGAGCGAAAGCAATCATGAGATACGGTGGAACTTGATTCAACACTTTCCTTTCTTTTCCACTTTAGGCAAGGATAATAAGATTAGATCCTTGCTTAAATACTCTTCGGTTAATGTTTCCTCGAAAGCTTCAACATCCGAATCAACTGTCCTCTGAAAGTAGCGGTAATACGGGCTGTATAAGTACTTGTAGATAGTTAGTTAAAAAATTATTTAACTCCTGATAAACATATTATTTAAGACTTAATTATTTTGTAGTTGATTTGTGATATTTTCTTATTTATCGCACTGTTAAAAATTCGCGTGTGTTGTTCATTTAATAATTTTCGTCAATTTTTTTGTTGAGTGATTCCTTAATCTTTAGCTCACACATTTGTCATTAATTTTTGCACTTGATATGTATGTATGTATTTATGTAGCTATGTAGGTATGTACACTGCCGGCAAAAAGTATTGGCACAACAAATTTTTCACAATATATGCATACACTTCTTTTCTAATATTTTTACGCCAATTTTTTATAAGAATATGGTTCATTCTACAACAAAAAACATAAAAATAAAATTCCTAAACTAAAATTCAGTAAATTTTCATGCAAATTTCAACTTTTTAATTAGATTTTTAGAATTTTTTCGGGTATGCAGCTTTGCAGCCCATCGCATTGAATTTTGAGAATTTTTTTTGGTGAAGGTGTTTTGCATTTTTGCATATAAAGTATTTTCGAAAAAATTTTTTTGTATGGAAGAAACTGCGTGAAAAAAATTGCCAAAAATCAACGATAATTCCCAGTTACTTAAAACTTATACTTTATTATAATTAAATTAATTGGGCTACAAATCTATATACTAAAAAAAAAATCTGATTAAAAGGTTTAAATTAGCTGAGTTTTTGTGAGTTTTGCACAAAGTTTGGGAATTATGTTTTAATGTTTTTTGTTGTATAATAAACCATATTTCTATAAAAAATTGGCGAAAAAAAAAATGGTTGCATATATTGCGAAAAATTTGCTGTGCCAATACTTTTTTCCGGCAGTGTACGTTTTTTCATATATTCGAAAGTTGTTATTTTTTCTCATCAAATTCATTTCACACATTCTCCAAGCAATCGTCTTAACTTCCGCTAATTATATCTGGTATTTGTGGGTTCGTAGGTTTTTCTTGTTTTTTTTCTTGATTTGTATTCATAAGTGTTATGATCTGTGTTGATGTTGCTATACATGCTGACATTATTTTTTTTTTGTATGTATAACTCATATGGACGTTTTTTTTGGTTTCTATGTCAAAAAAAAAATATATATATATATACCGTTTGCGGTTCGTAGATATTTAGTTAAACAATTCCTGTTCTACAACATAATTCACAAATATTCAATTGCTCAAAAATTTTATTTGCAGTGCAAACTTCGCGCGTGGACTATATTAACTAGAACGCAAGCAGTGAAGCAGACGCAGTAGATAAAAATTGTTTGGAAAGAAGCGCGCAAAAGTGGATAAAATTGATATCGATTGAGATAGAAACGGTGAGTTCTTAGTAAATAACAATTAATTTTACGCTGAATTGAAGTATTAGCTAATTAGCAGCTAGTAGATATACACACATACATATGTACTTGGTTTTCAAGTTTTGTCCCTACAAAAAATTTGTTTATACTCTTTGAGAATTGCACACATGAGAATGAGGAGATTCAAGTAATACGCAAAAGTGTTGTGCATCTTTTGTTGCATACCGTCGTCTCAGAAAACGGATGTCGAATGTTACAAATCACGGTTTTGAGAAAATCGACTTTAAACTTTAAACTGAAATTATTTCGAAGCTACACGGTAGATTATTGTAATTTTTGGATCAGGCCTAATTCATATTATGATTTTTTAACATTGAATGTTTTCGAATTTAATATTTTCAAAACTTATTGAGAATATGGACCTTCAATTCTGCATACATTTGTCGTATGTTACGTTTGCTCACAATTCTGTTTTGTCCATAGGACATACGACAAATGCCAAAACATTTGTTATATTCACAACGTGTCACAAAGGTTAAATAAATGTTTAGATGACTTGAAACCACAACCAACTGTTTTTTAACGGTTCGAAAATTCATAAAATGGCTTTTATAGTACCTTAAGAACCCCGCAAATATTTTACACTAATTGATTTTAGTGCCAACAGTAATATTTGAATAAAACGCAAAATTTTCAATGAAATATAAATATTTATTAAAAATAAACACAAAAAACTAAAAAAGTTCTTTCAAAACAGTTTTGTACATTTATCATATTCTGTAAAGTTTACAATTTATAACAAAAACAAAAAATTAATTCAGTTCTCTTTTTTCATTTTTACATCTTAAAACTATTTAAATTTAAATGTATCTATATGCATACATATTTTATTTAAATATGTGATAATATTGCTTTAAAAAATTGTTTGTCAGTCTCACATTCGAGGTAAGGTACCATTTCAGTTAGGTCTTTAATTCTATTTCTGTCCAATTTCGGCTTACATAAAACAAGCAGTGTTTGCTGAAATAAATTGTTTGGGGTTACGTTTACGAAACGCCCACGGGAATGTTTTTTAATACATGGAGAATTAATATCAATTTCCTCGTGACTCGCTTTATATCCAATATTCCATAAATTATTTTTGTTGTACTCTAAATATTTTACTTTCGAAAAAGGCACAAGGTCAAAAGTCCAGCTTTTTGTGAATAGTTTGTGAAATCGTCAGGAGCCATTTGAAGAATTTTCAAATGGGTTTTGGGATATTTTAAATTTTTTAAAATTTGTACTAATGCTATTGGGCAAGGAATTTTTATCTTTCTCAAGGTTTTATCTATAGTGCTATGCACACAGTCAACTTCCTGAATACAAGAATGCCCAGGTTCTGAAAATTTTTGTGTAATACTGGTAATGGAAGATTTATTCAAAAAGAACAATATTGCAGTAGATGTTATTTGATTTCGGGTTTGAGGAATACAAGAGTCACTCCATAAGATAATTTTTTTTATTTCTGGGTGATCTATCTCTATCATTCATGTCCAGAATGTCCTTGGCACTTTCGTAAAATTTTTTTAAGTTCGCCGGGCTCCACGTTCTCCTCTTCAGAGTCATTCAATATTTCATCCATAACACTAAAGTGTTCAAAAATTATATTAGAAAACAGTTTTTATAAACAAAACAAAAGTTTTTATAGTATTTACCCTTTCAAGGTTACGTCTAAACTTGGCGCAGGCGATGAATCTCCCATCTTGCTCTCACAACGATAACCAGCTGACTGAAGAAATTTCATGCATTGCAGTGCTTAAGCTATGCACACATGCAACAATTGTTTACAGTTTTCCTGCATACAATTGTCGTAAGTTCGGTATTTCGTGACACATACCACAAAGGTTTTCTGACAAAAAAAAAAGTAGATTTGTATGGGCGTTTGTTGTATGTGACATATTTTCAACACATACAACAAAAAGCACACCCAGATGTTGATATTACGCAACATACGACAAAATGCACTCGATATATCTCAAAAACTAAGGGAGATATAAAAAAATGGATTGAAGAAATCAAAAGAGCATGTCCAAGTTAGTAAATCTGCATCAAAATCCCAAAATCGTGATTTTGCACATTCGACATCCGTTTTCTGAGGCGACGATACGTCTGTGCATTCAATATTTTTATTTCAGCTCTGGGCGAAAGAGATCGTCTTTTAATCAAAAGAGGTGAATGTCGATCCCACGCGTGACTGAAGTGAATCTTTTACCTATTATCCATTAGATCAGCATATATGTATATATGAGAATTTTTCTGCATTGTAATAAAAGTTGATCTTAATATTAAACCTTGTCTTTATCCTGATCTTAAGGTCAATCTTAACCTTAACATTAACCTTAATCTTGGTCTTAATCCTAAACTTCTTCTTGGTCAAAATTTTAATCTCAATCTTAGTCTTAATATTAGATAATCCTTATAATCAAAATTTAAATTCCAATCTTAATCTTAACTTAGATTTTTGTTTCACCTTAATCTTGATCATAATATAAATCCTAATTTTAATCTTAATCTTAATCTTAATCTTAACCTTAACTTTAACTTTAATTTTAATTTTAATATTTGCTTCCTCTTAATCTTGATCTTAATCTTAATCTTTATATTAATCTTGATCTTAATTTTAGCTCTAATTTTAATTTTCATTGTAATTGTAATTGTATTTGTAGCTGTAACTTGAATTTGAATTTGAATTTTAATTTTAATTTTAACCTTCTTAATCTTAATCTTATTCTTAATTAGTATATTAATCTTAAGTACCAGGTTGACCGAGTATTGCCCGGAGTGCATATACTTTTTAAAGTTTTCAAGATTTAGATAGCTTTAAAAAAATATTTTGGAATTGAAAAAAATGGATTTCGATATCTAGTAAGTAAATTTCTTACTCTAAAATTTAGGTGGCAACCCCATTCCGAAATACGTTGGAATCCATAGTACAAGTCATAAGCGTACATGTACTGTGTATACTTACAAAAAATGCTGATTGAAATTAACAAAATACAAATTTGTATTACATAGAAGCGTGGCAACCTTGATCGCAACCTTACACTATCATCCTAAGGGATAACATTTTGTATATAGGGAAAGCATTGTTTAAGAAACTTCTCTTGGTACCCATGAATAGTAATATTTTACCTTTTTTTCTAAACAAAATTTTAAATAAACTTGCGATTCAAAATAGGTGGCAACCCTCTTAAAAATATTTTTGAATTAGGGATCTTTAAAATACCTTCCATTTGATACCTATATTATGATTTTTTAATTAATTGTCACTAATTTCGAATAGGTGGCAACCTTATACGAGTCTTCTCGGAGATTATGCCTATACAGATAATCTTAAAATCCAAAACATTATCTGTGTACAAAATTTCGTCAAAATCGTTAGAGCCGCTTCCGAGAACCCTATGGATATATATATATATATACAAGAATTGCTCGTTTAATGTAATAAGATAATCGTAATCGCAATTTTAGTCTTAATCTTAGTCTTAATTGCGCTCAACAACCCCCGCCATCCTATTCTTTCTTCTGTTGCCTTTTTGTTTCATTGAAGTTGGGAATTAGAGCCCAACGATCCTTTCGCTTTTTAGTTTCATCGATGTTTGTATTTACAAACAAGCGCAATGAGGCTTTACTTCAAAACATTCTACGACACATGCTATTCATTAGACTGTATCACAAAAAAAGTTCAATTTGCTCCAGACTATTTTCAACAAGTATTTACATACTATGAGAGTATGTTAGGAGTGTACAAATTATCATTTTAAGCTAAATCAGGTTTTTTCTATAACTTCCTTTTTGGAATCGATTTCTAAAAAAGGTACACCATTGTAAAGCCTACACACGTTTTCCAGAAAACATTATCCTATCATGCCAAACTAAAAAGTTAAAATTTTTTCTGAAAACGGTACACTGTAATTAATAGTAAGAGAAGCTTAACAAGTAAAGATGTATACGTTCAGGCGAAACCGAATTTTATCGGCCCGGCGCAGGTTTCAAATAGCGTCATTTCATCTTTCTCTCAACTACCTTTCCATGATAAGTCGGGGTGTTTTTCCCGATTTTAAACGTTTTAGATAATATGCTGACTTAATGAAATCATTGAATCAAGTTTGATAGAAATCCTTTGTAAAAGTCTTATTTATTGTTAAGAGATTGGTATTAACTTGGCGTAAATAAGTGCCCTCAGTTTTTGAAATATCGGAGTTTTCGTATTGGGTGGGTAAATGGGTGTAATTTTAGCTGATTTTAATAATTTTCAACAAGTTGCTTTTACTTACCAAGGTTTTAAGGTGCACCAATTTTGGTTGAATTTTATAAATCGGCTACCGAGACACACATTTGTGGTCATTAGTGGGCGGCGCCCCGCCCATTATCCAAAAATTTATAATAATCATATTTTCTGCTAAGTGCTTATTGCAATCATCGATTCGGAGTGCATTATCTGATTTGTCGCAGTTTTCATGTTTCTATGAATTACCGTTATATGGGAGGTGGGCGTGGTTATAGCCCGTTTTCAAAGATTTTCAACCGATTTCTTAGTTGGATCCTAAGCAAGGTTCGGACCGAGTTTGGTAAGGATTGGTGAAGCAGCTACTGAGATACAGAATTTCATCATAAGTGTGCGGAGTCACGCCCATTTTCCAAAAATTTTTTAATAATATTAGGTATTTTTTTACAATAATTCTACTTCACATACTTATTCAACAATTTGGATTGAATATTTACTGAAATATGGTAATTTTTGAATTTTTCGAAAATATCGTTATATGGAAACTGGGCGTGGTTACTGCCCGATTTCAATACCAACGTACCTTGGGTAAAGGGCAACCTACATACCAAATTTCGTTGAGATATCTAAATTTTCGCTCGAGTTATCGTGTACACGGACGGACGGTCGGATGGACGGACAGCCAGACATGGCTTAATCGAGTGCTCTTTTCATTCTGATCATTTATGTATACATTTGTCTATATCAA